CCATCCAGGGGCCACAAGGGGGCACCAGTGGAAAAAAATAAATAAATAAAAAAAATTAAATAAAAATTAAAATGTGGTTGTGTCCTTCGGCAAGACATTTTACCCACATTGCCGAGTATGAAAGTGGAGTGAGCGAGTGTGTTTTTGGTGGGCGGAGGGGCAGATGGCGCAGACTGGCAGCCTCGTTTCCGTCAGTCTGCCCCAGGGCGACCGTGACTACAACTGTATCTCAACACCGACGAGTGTGGAGTGAACAAATAAAGCTCTGTAAAGAAGAGTTGCAAAAGTTTCTATACAAAAAGGGGTGTGCAAAAATATTGAAATATCGTATCGTTTAATGTGATGATACAGTTTCGATATCATGGGCTGCTGTATCGATATATCACCAAGAATATTTTTTGGTAAATTTTACTTAATTATTTTGTTAGAGCTACAGTTTTGTTATTTAGAGGAAGGAAGTCGTGGGTCAAACAAAATATTTCTTGAAAAATTTCAACAACATCTGCATGTTTTCTTTTCTTTCGAGACATGTAATGTTAAACCTTTTATTAAACATTTATTTTAATAACAATAGTTTTACTTAAACATTGAATCCAGAACAAGCAGAATATAAAATAACAATATTTTAAAGAAATAATGTCTCTATAGTCGATCTGTAGCTGGCGGGTCAGCTCTAATTTATATTTGATATGATCACAAGGTCAATAATCTCGCGGGGCAAATTTGGCCCCCAGGCCTGAGTTTGACATGTCTGATTTAAATGTTTGTGTTTCATATGAACTTTACACAAGTGGTTTAAACAAGGGATGGGCAAGATTAGTCGATTAATCGATAATTGATCATTAAGAATTTCATCGATTACGTTCATTTTAATTGACAAACTGAATGTATGTGTGTGTGTCGTGACCAAACAGGTGTGTACATGTGTCTCTGCATCAGAAGGAGCGACACACAAACAGTGGGTCAGTCTGTAACGAACCGAAGCACAAATGTGGATTTAACCAGGATTTGTAGAAGAAATTCCACACTTTCCGTTGCGTTGGGACAAGTGTGAGTCCATGTGCACAGTGGATAAAGCAGCACATATGTTTCTGTGTCCAGTGGAAAAAGTTTTTCCAGGTGAGAGTCGCTCAATGTGGATGACGAGGCCCCGCCCCCCTCCCCCCGTACGCTGTCCTGGTTTTGACAAACACAAATCTGGTCACACTGACCTGTATTCACCTGAGTCATGTCTTTTAATCCAACACAAACCACATCGACACAAGAGCTGGAGTTTTATCTTCACTTAGTTTATGTAAATTAGTGATGTGGTTTTAAGTTTTGTTTCTGTGAGATTTGAACAAAACTGAATTAAACACATTATAATGTCAAACAGCTGATGTGGATCTAGAGTCGTTATGGTTTATATGTCATAAAGTTGAATTTATTTATGCAGATTAGTGCAGATAGTCATAATAATGATGATCATTTTAATATAAAAACGTGAATGATTAATCGATAATCGATCGTTAATTCTTCCGAAGATCGATAAAGAAAATTTCATCAAATGCCCGTCCCTAGTGGCTACAACGGTATCTCAACACCGACGAGTGTGGAGTGAACGAGTAAAGCTCTGTAAAGAAGAGCTGCCAAAGTTTCTATACAAAAAGGGCTGTGCAAAAATACCAAAATATCGTATCGTTTAATGTGATGATACAGTTTCGATATCGTGGGCTGATGTATCGATATATCGCCAAGAGTATTTTTTGGTATATTTTACTCAATTATTTTGTTACAGCTGCAGTTTTGTTGCTTCTTTAGAGGAAGGAAACTTATTTAGGCGACACATTTGACATTTTTACTGTTTTGATGATTAAAATGTTTGTGTTTCATTTGAACTTTGCACAAGAACCGGTTTAACAAAGACTTTTAGAATCACAGACATGATTTAGCCATTACTTTCATTGGACCATATCGAATCGATTTTAAATATATCGCATCGAATCGTATCAAACGGAAAGCTGATGACGGACCCTCAACCAGAAAGTTACACAGTGCAGCTTCAGGTTCATCAGTTTGACATTTTAGTACCATAACAACACTAGTAGTAATAAAAACAGTTGTAGTAAATAAATGAAAAGCATCTGTCTCGGTTTGTCGTCAAATACAAGTTGAACACGTGTATAAAGTTACACAGTGTTTGAGCGTGAGGTCGCGACAGGTCAACACATCACAGAGTTAACTCGATCTGTCAATGAATAAGACACGGACTTTACAAACACAAATAAATGAATCTTTATCTGGGGCCACGACAAACGTAAAGACAAAACAAAACGCTGGAGAGATTACTGAGAAAACTTTGCTCGGAATAGTTTACTTCTTATTTAAACTACACAAAACAGTCTGCAAAAAGGTTTCAAAAGTAGAAAATCTGATCCTAATCGATACTTCAACTAGTACTCGTTTACAGTGTTGGGGAGTAACAGATTACATGCACCGGAGTTACGTAATCAGAGTACGTAACTGTACAGTTACAATTGGATTACAGTTACTTTGTTGAAATAAATGGATTACACAGAGGGATTTTCCTGTTTTCACATTATTTTTATTATTATTTATTTATTTTTATTTTTATTAATTTTTTTTCGGTAATTCCACTCATTGTTGGAAACTAAACCAGGTCTAAACCAGGACTAAAACCAGGTCTAAACTAGATCTAAACCAGGACTAAAACCAGGTCTAAACTAGATCTAAACCAGGACTAAAACCAGGGTCTAAACTAGATCTAAACCAGGATCTCTAAACCAGGACTAAACCAGGAACCTAACCAGGACTAAAACCACTAAACTAGATCTAAACCAGGACTAAACCAGGATCTAAACTAGATCTAAACCAGGACTAAAAACCAGGTCTAAACTAGATCTAAACCAGGACTAAAACCAGGTCTAAACTAGATCTAAACCAGGACTAAAAACTAAACCAGGTCTAAACTAGATCTAAACCAGGACTAAAACCAGGTCTAAACTAGATCTAAACCAGGACTAAAACCTAATCTAAACAGATCTAAACAGGAAAACTAAACAGATCTAAACCAGGACTAAAACCAGGTCTAAACTAGATCTAAACCAGGACTAAAACCAGGTCTAAACTCTAAACCAGGACTAAAAACCAGGTCTAAACTAGATCTAAACCAGGACTACAGGTCTAAACTAGATCTAAACCAGGACTAAAACCAGGTCTAAACTAGATCTAAACCAGGACTAAAAACCAGACTAGTCTAAACTAGATCTCTAAACCAGGACTAAAACCAGGTCTAAACTAGATCTAAACCAGGACTAAAACCTAAAGGTCTAAACTAGAACTAAACAGACTAAAACTAAAACCAGGTCTAAACAGGAACTAAAAAGATCTAAAACCAGGACTAAAACAGGTCTAAAACTAGATCTAAATCTAAAGGACTAAAACCAGGTCTAAACTAGATCTAAACCAGGACTAAACCAGGTCTAAACTAGATCTAAACCAGGACTAAAACCAGGTAAAACTACTATCTAAACCAGGACTAAAACCAGGTCTAAACTAGACTAAACCAGGACTAAAACCAGGTCTAAACTAGATCTAAACCAGGACTAAAACCAGGTCTAAATAGATCTAAACCAGGACTAAAACCAGGTCTAAACTAGATCTAAACCAGGACTAAACCCAGGTCTAAACTAGATCTAAACCAGGACTAAAACCCTAACAGGTCTAAACTAGATCTAAACCAGGACTAAAACCAGGTCTAAACTAGATCTAAACCAGGACTAAAACCAGGTCTAAACTAGATCTAAACCAGGACTAAACCAGGACTAAAACCAGGTCTAAACTAGATCTACTAAACCAGGACTAAAACCAGGTCTAAACTAAACTAGATCTAAACCAGGACTAAACTAAACCAGGACTAAAACCAGGTCTAAACTAGATCTAAACCAGGACTAAAACCAGGTCTAAACTAGATCTAAACCAGGACTAAAACCAGGTCTAAACTAGATCTAAACCAGGACTAAAACCAGGTCTAAACTAGATCTAAACCAGGACTAAAACCAGGTCTAAATAGATCTAAACCAGGACTAAACCAGATCTAAACCAGGACTAAAACCAGGTCTAAACTAGATCTAAACCAGGACTAAAACCAGGTCTAAACTAGATCTAAACCAGGACTAAAACCAGGTCTAAACTAGATCTAAACCAGGACTAAAACCAGGTCTAAACTAGATCTAAAACCAGGTCTAAACTAGATCTAAACCAGGACTAAAACCAGGTCTAAACTAGATCTAAACCAGGACTAAAACCAGGTCTAAACTAGATCTAAACCAGGACTAAAACCAGGTCTAAAAACAGGTCTAAACTAGATCTAAACCAGGACTAAAACCAGGTCTAAACTAGATCTAAACCAGGACTAAAACCAGGTCTAAACTAGATCTAAACCAGGACTAAAACCAGGTCTAAATAGATCTAAACCAGGACTAAAACCAGGTCTAAATAGATCTAAACCAGGACTAAAACAAAACTAAACTAGATCTAAACCAGGAAAACCAGGTAACTAAAAACCTAAAACCTAGGTCTAAAACCATCTAAACCAGATCTAAACCAGACTAAAACCAGGTCTAAACTAGATCTAAACCAGGACTAAAACCAAGTCTAAACTAGATCTAAAACCAGGTCTAAAAGTCTAAACTAGATCTAAACCAGGACTAAAACCAGGTCTCTAAAAGACTAATCTAGATCTAAACCAGGACTAAAACCAGGTCTAAACTAGATCTAAAACCAG